GATAAACAATGATTGGTTATATATATCAAAAAATTATCTATAATCAAACTTTTTTATGCTTTGTTTTGTTAACAGTCATTGACACAGGGGTATTTTTCACACTTAGACCATCATAAAGAAGAGTCAGTTCGAAATGTTGTTTGCTCATCAATTCTAATGGAAATGCACTATATTCAGCTGACAAAACAAGTAGAGGAAACGTATTCAACATTTAGAAACACTCGATGATATGAACAAAATGGAAACAAACTATAACAGGCTTTAGGATCAAACTCTACCCAACAAATTGTGCAAGGAAACAGTTGTAATTATTACGAGGTATCAGAGGCACCTTTTGTCTTTGCTCAATGTATTTACGTCAAAGCATTTGAACAAAAGTCTTCTTCAGGGCATGGTTTTTTCTTTCAGCACATTGGTTGACTTGGAACTTCCAGTTAAGTGGCAACCTTGTTTATTTCAATTGAAAAATTACTTTTTTCAATAGAAAGAACTTGTCATATTTGTTTGTTTTCAATGAGCACCAACTTCCGCAATACGGTGGATAACTTTTTTCTTACAATTGTTCCATTTTCTATATTCTATAGTGAATGTTGTATACCAAAACAATCATCAAAATACAAGATAAAGCTAATATTTCTTTAAATTAACACATTCAATTGAAGGTTATATTGATTACATACAGAGCAATTAAAATATAAAAAGTCCATGTTTAAGCAGAGTAGTAAAATAGATGATCACTAAGAAATGGATCCTAATCCACAATATTTAAGTGGGATGTAACATAAAAGGCAACATGAATATTCTTAGTCTTTTGAAGTGACATTTAGTGTACTCTGATTTGAAAATAAATGGTACACCACAGCACCGTCCTTAACTATGGGTGTAAATGTGGACATGATGATTTCAGATTCCTTGGTGAAAATTCCCAGGCCTGGAAGAAGCCATGGAAAATAATTAAGTAGCAAGTGATGTCATTATGATGAAAGGCAGGCTGTCAGACAGTTGGCGACGATGGGTGTCTCTTTGCCACAGCCCACTATAGACCAAAATATGACTTCAAAGCAGGTAGCAGGGGCCAGAAAATACTGGCACTCTCAATTGTCTTGTCCCATTACAGGAGCCCCTTTTCCTATTCGGAGGAAAGGTACAGATGGCTTATTTGGTGCTAAGAGTGTGTCTTTATCAATAAAGTATATTTTTCTCCCAGATTCAATTTAAATGCTATAAATTTAAACAAACTTTTATTACTGTAGTTCTGTCATTTTTTCCACTGTATCATATACAAAAAAGACAGTCAATGTCTTCTTGTTTTACAGTAGTATTTGACATCTACAGTAGCTGTAGATGTCAAATAAGCTATACAGGACAGAATGAATAATGCATAGTAGCTTTATACTCTCATGAACTGTTTTAAGGGCTTTTCCATGTCCTTTGGCAAATCTGAGACATAAACATCCACAGTTTCATCCTCCTCCAGTCTCCTCTGACTCTGAGATGCAAGGAAGTGCATAGTAATTGGCTCCTCTCCCTAAAACTCTGTTTCTGTACTATGGTTCTGTGTATGGTCTGGTGAATCAGAGATGGTAGAGTTGATTAAAAAAAAGAATAAAATAGTACATGGGTTGGAATTTCTCCTTGCATTCTCTGATATTCTATTAAACACAATCCTACCCTGTTCTTATTTTGAGCAATGACTAGAGATGAAAGGATAAACAACAGCTGACTAGAAATAACATTCATATTTGGTTCCCCCATGGTGCTAGAGAGACCCCAAAATGCAAAAGCTATGTTCAATCTTGAAAGAGTTCATTTTTATCAAACAAGGCATCATCTGCAACCAATAGACGGCCTAACAAAATGAGAGCCTGCAGGACAGATGTCTTCATGCTGCTCCTTGCTCTCTGAAGCTCTGTCCTTTTACATCCATGGGCTTCGGTGGCACCTCTTGACTTAAGTCAGGATCAAGGCTGTTTACGGATTCCCTGGAAAATATCAAATAAAACAGGCACATGCGAGAGATTTACCGAGTAGTACCTTCTTGTTGGGGTTTAAATATAACATGAGAAAGTTAAGGAGAAAGGTTTGCTTTGGAAGATTTGATTTAAAGGGCTGGGAAGGGTTAGGGAAAATAGAAGATGGACATTTTCACCACCGTGTATGGAGTGAATGAATAATGACATGTAAGCCAACCTTTGAGTGTCCATAAAAGCACTATATAAAACTGATGCATTAATATCATTATTATTTATTTTCAATCTGGCAATACTTGGATCGATATATAGTTTATCTAACTTTATAATGCTGTAACAGTTACATTTTATAGTACATGGTGCTCAAAACGGGGAAACACTGTTTTCATAACCAATTATTAGTTTATTATTGTTTACCATACACAATGATGAAAAGTGCAAAATTGTGAACAACACCCTTTAATCCACATGAAGGATCTACATGCCTGCTAATATACCTAAGACGATGCAGCCAAAATATCTTTCAATAAATACAAGTAAGAGTTTCATAATCTATGTGCAGCGCAATAATGTATTCCCCTAGCCCCCTCGTCCTCTCGTCAAAGGCCGTACATTGCCTCTTGCTGATATATTTTTTATTATCTTTATCCTTAATAACAAAAACAACATAATATTTCAGGCAAGTTCAAATCACCTAGATTTGCAAGGCTTGAGATCCCCTTTAGTCCAGGCTTTTAGCAGATTTCCACACTTAAACACTTTGTGGCATAATACCACTAAGTCTGAGGCTTTGCTATTGTGACCTTTATGGGATTTACAGCTGCATTTCAGCCGTCCCAATCCCTAACCTGATCTCATATGTTTTAGGCTTTGACATCTTCTGTGCATGCTCCTTAGGGTGGCAATTTTCAGGAATTTAAAAGAAAGTTTTCGATGATATATAAAAGTTTTATGGATGATGATCTCTGCTTTGTTCTTCCAATGAGGACCTCCACCTGTTTCTGATGATGTGAGCCAGAGCCTGTCCCTTTCAAGAGACTGATCCCTCCTGATCTCTTTGATGTAACCTGACCTAACAATTCCAACTTGCAGGATTTGAAGATCGCGGATGGACCCTGGACAAAAGCATGTGCGAATCAAAACTTACAGGCACAAGGTGAAAGATGGGAAGAGGGGAATGTGTGAGCAGAACTGACACAGCTCTGATGTATCAGGCCCGTGAACGGTCACATGATCAATGCTGCCAGCCTGGACTTAAGCAGTAAAACCTGTGGATCTGAGAGGGCACATGCAACTGATCGGAGATGAAAGACAGGCTTTGACTTTCACAGGAGGCCTGGAGTGGTGAGGGGGGCTGGAGGGGGCACTTTTGGGGGGACGCCATTAGAACAGCTGGGTCATTTTGAAATGACCTAATTCTAGTATTAATTCATGGTTGGAGATGCACTAAGATGTAATGTCAGAAAATCTTAAGAATATTGGGTTCCCAGGTTGCAATTGTTATTACTGCTAAATAGTTTTGAAAACACTAATGAATCACGCACTTGACACACAGGATTTTTTGGTATCATTTGCCAATGATCCGATTAGAGACACATTGGAATTGTTAGTGATGGTGTGTGTCTCTGTGTGGGTTTGTATGTGTGTGTCTGTGTGTGCCTGTTGTATGCTTTATCTGTCTTAATATCAACCTGCCATGGGACTACGGATGAAAATTTGCCTACATGGCTAACTCTGGCACATTTACATGTTAAAAACACATGTTGATGAATGTGCACTGTCCCAATTCAAATAAAGATTACAAAAAAACATTCACACTAGTCACACTTCTAGAGCATAGTGCCAAATATGTAAACTGCAAAAGCTCTTGTGAATGTGCAGAAACAGGATTCCATCAGAGTGCTGGAGGGTGCATGTTTTGGAATGACGGGTGATAAAAAATCGTATATGTATGGGTGATTAGGCTCAATGCTCAATATGTGGAGCCTGTGCTTGCAGGCTTTACCACATGTTTTAATCTACAAGAATTTGTTTGAAGTTTCCAATGAATACCCAGATCCTGGTGACTTCATTTTTGTCTTACCTGGCTCACATCACTAACATCCTGCAGGCAAGCTGGTGCTCTGCATATGTTGGGCCATTCCTCTTTAAAAGGGCATAGACTTCTTCAGTTAATTTCACTAGTGCCTGTGCTATTTGGCCTTTTTGACCACTTTTAAAAGTTCCTGCCGTTTTATTCAAAACATTTTCAGACAGAGGGCTTCACATAGGATTCTTTGGTTTGCATAAAATATAGACACAGCTACAGTATAGCAAAAGACTAAAAAGACGCATCAGTGGGAGGGAGGAGAGACTGAAGAGACAGAGTGATGGTTGCTTTGATCTCAGGAGGCCCTTGAATTAAAAATGAAAAGAAAATGTTTAGTTTTCTCTTACATAAATCAGCTCAGACAGTGAGTTGTAAGCCACTTATAATATAGGTAGCCTACAAGTTGTACCTTAGGGATGACTATCAAACTAAAAAGGCAAGCTAAGCTATAATGTATGTAACGCGTGTTTTTAGTTTGATTTTGGGGCAAGTGTGTAACAAGATGCGTATTCTCACTTCATAAATTTGCGACAGAGTGGGAAATAGCCGTTTCAATGCCAATAAAAATCCACCACATCAAATGAAAAAAACCGTGGATCAAAAGGACCAAACGCACGGACTTTTTTCCCATTATAAATTCAGAGGGGGTAGATGGAGAGGGGACGTCTGCCACGCTTGATCATTCCCGAGACCTGCCCCGCTTCAGCCATTGGCTGGGAGGACAAACGAGGGGGGAAAGTTTGAATAAAATACAACAAATACAAGCGCATGGCACGAGTGTTGTCGTTCTGGCCCGTGTGTGTGCTCTGTCTTACAGCGCATGACTTGGACGAGAAATTAGTCCACTGGGACGCACATTCACGAAGGACTACAGCGAAGTGAATCCAAACCTTTTACACATTTGTGAAGCAGCTGTAAGAAAGTTGCCCAAATCCAGCCCTATGACAGCCTTCCGAGTGCTCTGGTCGTGTGCCCTGCTGGTGCTGGTTCAGCCCGGGGCTCTTTGCGCACGGAGGTTCCGCGGTGGCCGTAACTCGCAGCCTCGCCGCGCCTCTCCTCCTCCCACCTCCCGCACGGCCCACGGGGAGGTCACCGAGAGCTTCCCGCTGGACTTCACAGCAGTGGAGGAGAACATGGATAACTTCATGACACAAGTGAAGAACCTGGCGCAGTCTCTCTACCCCTGCTCTGCGCAAAAGCTCGACTACGACATGAAGCTACATTTTTTAGAAAACACGTCCGTTACCTGCAACGATGGAAGCCCAGCTGGGTATGTGCTTTTTATATCTTACCCTGAAGAAGGTTGAAAGGTTGAAAGGAAAAAATGCGGGATATGGAACCCCGCAGGTGCCAGTATGGAACTCGATTATTATTAGCAATAACCTGAACATTAGATGGAAACGATTTATTGAAATATACAATTAACAATAAATAAATATTATGTAGGATGTGAGTCATTTTGCCTACAGAACAGACATTCCTGATGGAACATTATTCTTTGATAATGGTCATAAATGCGTTGAGATGCATATCTGTGGATTTAGTGAGTGAACTAATTCATACTAAATCCCAATGTGGGAAAAGCTCCTGAATGTCCTGAGGCCTCCAGTTCCTGGCAGATGGCAACTTCATTCATAGCATTCATTACTAATCCTAAAGGACAGTAACGTCTCCATGGATGAAGTCAACAGTCAAATTAAAGTGGGCCATATGACCAAGCCTCATTCATATGAACTCTAAAGCTGTAGAGAAAAGAAATGTCCTTTTAAGACTTCATCATAAACTGTAATGGGCAATAACAACATTGTCTGAACCATTTAGAGGACCATCTTTACCTTTACAAGCAGTCATTCAAAGTGGCCGTAAACACCACTCCTTGTAAATCAGATCATTTCATTTGGGCGGAAATGCTCTCTCCGCAGACAAACTGTACACATTATATTTTGTGGAAATAGTGCTTGTTAATAAGAACACATGACTTTGACTTGATCTGTGCAGAAATACATAATTCAAACTTGATGGCTGTCTAACCTAATCTGTATACAATTAACTCTGATTCTGTGTCTCACATTTAATACCATAATCTGGTTGATCTAACTTTTGTCTCCTTTAGATATTACCTGAAAGAATCTCGTGGAAGCAGACGGTGGCTAATATTCTTGGAAGGTTTGTATAGCACAAAATGATGATCACTGATGTTGCTTACATCACTGTATACATTCTAAATGGTTTTGTTCAGGTGGATGGTACTGCTTCAACAAGGAAAACTGTGACAGTCGATATGAAACAATGAGGAGACTGATGAGCTCATCCAAGTGGCCACAAACAAAAACAGGTGAGCGGCCTCCTGAACACTCATGCTATTCATTGGTTTAATGGAGCCTGACTCGTGCGGTGCAATAATCCAGATCAGACTTGAATATACTGTTAATTAAAGGGGCTTAACATGTTCATTTCCCATACCCCGTCATAATGCAGCAGTATAGGGCTACCTGGCGCCCACTGCTGTGGAAAAGGATACACTTCCCTCAGCCCTGCAGTGTAATAACTGTAATCCATGTTGTAATGATAATGAGGAGGAAGAGGATGTGTCTGGGAGTGCCACTAGTAACCCTAGTAATACATGTCAATCTGCGGCTTTAGGTACAGGAATCCTGTCTCCACTCCCAGAGGAAAACCCGCATTGGTGGAATGCAAACATGGTGTAAGTTTAAGTCAGCGTAATTCCTTAGGTATACACTAATATGATAGACCATAAACTGAGTACTTTTATGCTGTTTGTGCAGGTATATTCCATACTGCTCAAGTGATGCGTGGAGCGGTGCCTCGCCCAAAACAGAACAAAGTGGCTACGCATTTATGGGATCTCTTATTATTCAAGAAGTGGTGAAGAACCTCCTGAATAAAGGTCTAGAAAATGCAAAGGTGCTTCTACTTGCAGGGAGCAGGCAAGTGGCTACTTTGTTTCTAAATTCCTTTCAATGTCCCTGTCAACTTTATCTTACAAATTATTTCACTTGCAAATTCAGTGCTGGAGGTACTGGAGTCCTGCTGAATGTAGATCGTGTGGCGGAGCTTCTTGAAGGTCTTGGACACACTTCTATTCAGGTTCGTGGGCTCGCTGATTCGGGATGGTTCCTAGACAACAAGCAGTACCACTTCACCGACTGCGTGGACACAATCAGCTGTTCCCCCACTGAGACCATCAAGCGGGGCATCAAGTAGGTCCATATGAAATGTCAAAATAGAGCATTGTTAGTTAAATGTATTGTTATTATTTATTCATAGCATCTTTGTTGGTTTGTTCAGATACTGGGGAGGAGTAGTCCCAGAGAGATGCAGAAAGAGCTATGAAGGGGAAGAGTGGAACTGCTTCTTTGGTTACAGAGTTTTCTCAACAATAAAAAGTATGTTTGCTCTCAATGTAAAACACACATGCATAAGAATGTCTGCTTGCTTGTTGACACATGGAGCCCATATATTCAGTCATTTAAGGCAGCTTCTTTCTCTGCAGGCCCTGTCTTTGTGGTGCAGTGGCTGTTTGACGAAGCACAGCTGACCGTGGACAACATTCAGCTGACAGGCCAACCCGTGCAGGAAGGACAGTGGCGCTACATCCAAAATTTGGGAATTGAACTGAGGAAGACACTGAATAATGTCCCGTACGATTCATTCTAACCTTTATGCTTTAGCGTGTTGCCAAAATAATGTGTTGACTATTTGTTTTTTGTTTGTTTTTAAGGGCTATGTTTGCTCCGGCATGTCTATCACACGAAGTTATTACAAGAACGTAAGTAGTATTATAATGCCATGACATGTTCAAGTTACTCATGGGGTAACTAGCAAATACAAGTGCTGTTTTATATACTTTATTTTCTAATTGTGAGAATACAATGGAATTCTTACACAAACAAAAAGTTTTAGGAGAAACCAAATAGAATATCCTTAAAAAGTCAATTTACTTCTTTAATTCAGTTAAAATTTTGAAACTAATATATGACAGACTCAATAAATGCTAAGTAAGATATGCCAAGCCTTTATTTGTTATAATTATAATTTGTTATAATTGGCTCACAGCTGGAAAAAACCCAAATAAAAAAAATCCATAAAATTTGAATATTGTTTAAAATTTACTGTATATATTGGTTTCACATTTTAAGTTTCAGAATTAAAAGGACGACATTCTTTTTGAGTTTCACCTGTTAGCAAGTTTTACATGTGAACTGACAGCGCCCTCTTGTGTTGTGTTGTAGGTACTGGATAGACATACAAGTGAAAGGAACTTCTCTGCCCCGAGCTTTGCACTGCTGGGACCGTAGTCTACAGGACCACAGGAACAACAAGGCTCCCCCCAAAGGATGTCCAGTGCATTTAATCGACAGCTGCCCTTGGCCACACTGCAACCCCACATGCCCCACCATCAGAGACCAGTTCACGGGGCAGGAGATGAACGTCATCCAGTTCCTCATGCACATGGGCTTTGATGTGCAGAAGATGGCTCAACAACAGGGCATGGATCCCAGTAAACTTCTGGGCATGCTCAGTAGTGGCAGCTAAAACAGACACAGAGAGTGGTGTACTGAAGCGAAGTCCTTACAGGGCTGGGTGGTCACTGTGGCCAGTCTTTATAACTAATACCTCCAACTTTTTGTAGAAAAAACAAACAAAAACTATTCTCTCATTGGCTTTATGCTTACTGACCTCATTACCACCACATGTTTAGTATTCATTCATTTTGTGTGGCTCCTCCTCATGCTGCAACAAGTCTTGCCATGAGATATGACAAAGCACAACTTTCTTCTACGTCATGTTATGTGCTTTGTTCAATAATACAGAAAGGTTTGAATGTAATCCAGTTTTAAGGATTTGTATATGTTAATAATATATATTGTTTCTGGTTTAGATCTTTTCAAGCCATTATCAGTTTGTAGGAAGAAGAAACAATATGGAGTTTCATGTGGAATATAGACCATAAGGGAAATTACTAGTACATCTCATCAGAGTTTCAGAATTAGAACGCAAGGATCAATGATGAGGTGAGAAAAGCACTGGATGACAGAGGGACAAAACAGTGTTCCAACTAACATAACTTAATAGCTAAAATATGAACTGCTATGCTATAAAAAGCGACATTATTCTACCTTATTTTATGGTACAATAGTTCTGCTTTGTATACCTCTACACACCTATTTCTACAAACAGGCTTGATAGACATTCAACTTCATTCAAAACTAAATATTATTAGTATTTTGAATGGAAAAAGGTTCTGACAATGTTGCATCAAACAAGAAGCTTACATTTCATAACAGATAATATGTTATAATATAATGTAATATGTTGTATGTATCGTTTTAAAGACCTCTATCATCCACACCTGAAGGAAAGATATGACTATTTGTAATTTTATTCTGTAACATATTATAACAGTTAAAAACATTGGTAATTTACATATTTATTATGTCATGTAAATCATATTTATAATTGCTATTTTCACAGAGAACTGATTCTGTAAATTGTAAATATAATGCTGCTTGTTAACTGTGTTGACTGCATGTCTTTGTATCAACCATATTGGAGACTATACCGTGCATAAATTACAAGTCAAATGTTGTGATTAATCCAGATTGAAGCCTTTTTTATAATCTCACATCTGAATCTACACTGTGACATGAGAGCAAATAATTCCAAGGCAAGTGTCCTCTGAACTCCTGCTTACAAAACAGAAACCCCCAAAATAAATATGTTATTGTATTGTTACCTTTTAAGCCTTGTTCAAAATATTCTTTATCCTCAAGGTTATTCAGTATTTAATTGGGCTCAATACAAGATTAATGTGTTTTCAAAATGAAAGTACACTATGAAACTTTTCTGCTCGTCTCCAAAACTATATAATTATAATCGTATTATTATTAAGTGCATGTGAACTTGGTCATCAGGCATAAGTTCATGAAGAGAAATAATGATTAACACAATATAGTGGTACATTCAAGATCTCTCTCACACCCAAATGGCCATTTCTAAGAAGGAATCCTTTACAATAGATGTTGTATGGAGCAAGTTAATTCACATTTGATATCTAAAAACAAAGGATAAGAAAAACGTATACAAACGGTGCTATAAAACTACTACTCTGAACTTCTACCTTATTTCTTCAATCCAATTCTGTCATCTCTTCTGTATAATCATGGCTGTACATGTGCACTTTATTCCTCTAATGGAAGTCTTTGCCAGCCTCCCTGTCATTAAACGGAGTATAAATGCCAGTTTTTCTCTTGAAGACAGCCACTAAGGGTGCTCCCAGAAACACGACTCTGGACTGCTCACCACATGCTCACAGCCTCCCACCCCTCTGTGGAATATAGACCCCTATTTATAGCACTGTGAGGCCTGTGTAACCCTGTGCTTGGCCACTACCAATCTACACACTCTACACAAGCCAGACATGAGATTGAGGGAGTGTTTTGTAAGCCAAAAGGAGACCAAATCCCAAAGAGACAAGCAGACAGTCAGAGCAAGACAAAGAGCACACACCGAACTGATTTCCACCTGTTCTGACAAAACCGTAAAGGACCTACAGGACGTCTGATTGACAGGACACCGTAGTGGAGCAGCTGTTATACTGGAGAAGTTTATGTTGGATATGACGGACATGTAGGACTCTGATCCCTGACATTTACTGGAGATATTTATGATTCATGAAGACAAGAAAAGAAAGTGAGACTCATCTTCTGGATAAAAGGACGAGGTATTTGAAAATACCAATACAGAAAGAGAACATTTTCTCACAGATTCTGTAACTGCAGTAAATACAATTAAATTAATTTACTATTTTTAGTATGTTTAAGGCAAATGTGGAAGAGTAATGTAACTAACTGCAGTCAAGTGAATGCTACACTGTAATTACAAAGCTAGCTCAAGGAAAGCTTTGTAATTAAGGGCTAAGTATAAAAAGAAACCAAGAAAGGGTGAGGCCTGTGAGAAAAGGAGGCCACAGAGAGCACCACGAAAGGGCCAGAGCCAAGAGACTCATTGGGCTGAAGCAGACATGGACGCTCACGGAGGACACTACCTGAACAAAGAAGCTGTACTGTCACCTTTGGGGATAGCTCGCATGAGCCAGCTGTTTCTGGGCTGCACCATTATAGCACTGGTATCCCACAGTGCAGGATACAGCGCCTCCTATGGGACATTCTGCATGTTTGTGTGGTGCTTTTGCTTTGCAGTGACTCTGGTGGTGTTCACGTTGGATATTACAAGACTTCATGCTTGTATGCCGATTTCCTGGGATAACTTCACAGTCGCCTTTGCCATGTTGGCCACACTCATGTACATCACTGCCTCTGTGGTCTATCCGGTCTACTTCATTGAAGATGAGTGTGAAGATGAGAGCTGCGAAAGCCTGTACTACCGTATAGCAGTGACAGTTTTCTCCAGTATCTGCTGCTTTCCTTATGGTGTTGAGGTGTTTCTGACGCGGGCTAAGCCTGGAGCTGTTGTTGGTTACATGGCCACTGCCTCAGGATTACTAAAGGTAGTCCAGGCCTTTGTGGCCTGTATTATTTTTGGAGCCCTGGCCCATGACAGCGAGTACACACTCCACATAGCCACTGAGTACTGTGTGGTTGTGTACAGCTTGTGCTTCATAATCACTGTAGTGGTTATCATACTGACTGTTTCAGGAAGGACCTCTTCTCTGCGCTTCCCCTTTGACCGCTTTGTAGTAATTTACACCTTTTTTGCTGTTATCCTGTATCTAAGTACAGCACTTGTTTGGCCAATTTTCAGCTTTGATAAGAAGTACGGTACAACAAGTCGCCCAGAGGACTGCCCGCGAGGAAACTGTCCCTGGGACACTAAGCTTGTGGTGGCAGTGTTTACAAATGTTAACATGATTCTGTACTTCGTTGATCTAATTTATTCTCAAAGAATTCGGTTTGTTTTAGGATCAGCTGCATAAGAAACAATGTGTTTCTAATTTGTTTGAAATATGTTCCTCAATATCCATATCTCGAGGGGTTTCAGCTTCTCGTTTCATGCAACTTTTTGAGGACCATTTCCCATTCAAAGGTTGTTGTGTGTTAAAAGTTACTCTACTAATTTTTTATCTCTCTGTAAATGCAGTGTTGCAACACTGCGTTAGTTGCTTTTCTAATTGAAAGCATGATTAGCAAGTTTTTGGGTTTTTTTAGTAAACGACCAATTTCAAATGATTTACTGAATAGAAATTTTTATTTCCCAATGAAAAAATAAATTGTAAAAACAGCAATTTGCAAAACAATTCTTCCCTTCTCAAGGTTAAAATGCTGTTCTTAAATGCATACAACACAATGCATGGGAAATGGAATGATGGGGTGCAAAACAGGTATTATATATTACAATATCAGGTTTGGCCTAATCAGGGGATCCCTACCTAATGAAGTCTTTTATTATGGATTTGTCGCTTCCATCATCCATGCGTTCCCATCCATTTCTTCCAGAGACCACAGGATGTGATCTCAAAAGTGGATCTGCAACAATCCATTAAACCTGTATTAATCAATAATATAATACATTCATGGTATTGGCACACACGTTTAGTGTGGCCATGACCTAATGTTACATTAGTAAACAACAGTATTTTATGCACTGAGGATTGTTTTGGAGAATGTGTTTATAATAGTTATAACATTCATGATATCAAACTTCACAGGTTATTTGTCTGCATTTTTAAATAGAAAATGTGTACTTGCATTGGTACTGGTTTATAAATTAATTACAATTACAACCCAACTGGTGCCAGAATCCTACTTCCTTTCAACACCTAAGAATTGTTACAGATACAAAGAACCTGCTGCAGTTTAGCTTGAAACTTCAATGAAATTCAATTTATTTTTGTATAGCCCTAAATCACAACAGTAGTTATTCTGGAGAACTTTACAAGCTCTCGATTCGCCAACACAGATTAGAGAATCAAACAGTTCAAACACAGGCAATGCAACAACAGAAAGCACATAAGGGGCGAAGGATCAATGTCCATAATTGTTAATATACATATCTGATATTTCTGCCTTTCACCAGTCACTTTACCTGTTGATATTTTACTGTATTATTACATATCCATCTGATAATTCTCCCATTCGAGTCATTTTCCCCGTTGATATTATTTATTTCTGATGTTTATTCTGCTCATATTTATATTCTCATATTCTCCACTGCTAATGTATAATATAGACAGCTGTAAATACTTCCGAACCAAATGCAATTATTTTATTTTTTTGTCTATTATCTTAAATAATAGACTCAATTCGATGTGTGCAATCTGAGTGCTCTCATTTCCTTTCTCTGCTGTAATGTGCGCAACAATGACACTGAAATTTCTCCACTGTGAGACTAATAAAGGTTTATCTTATCTTATCTTAATAGATGTCCATAAATGTTGTTGAATGTTGAATGTCCTAGAGCATCACCACTCTCCTTAGACTCTCCTGCATCGTTCAAGGAAAAACTCTGAAGACGGGAGACAAGTGAGAAACCTCTGGGAGACCCACATTGAGGGAAGGATCCACTAGTTCGGGCCGAGGAAGGCAGTCCACAGGTGCCGATGGAGGAGGCCGGGTTAAGGGCTCATCATCGCCATGAAACAGGCAATGGGACAACGGGTACAAACATACATACAAGCGTTTCCGTTATAACACAAACTATGTAATGCATGTGATTACTTATAGGTGTATCTGCCTTCCTTTAAACAAATGTGTGGGGATATTATTATTTGTGGTTGTTAATTGTAAAAAAGAAAAAAAGAAAAGAAAAAGACAAAAAAATTGACAACCCAAATAGTTCTGCTTGGATAATCTGCATGATAAGTATGAATCCACTTCAACTTTTGTTCAGAAAACACCAACTACGTATGTGATTTGGGCATGTTGACCTAATATCTGGAGTAGGGACACATCTAATAATATGTAGATGATAATTAAAATGAACATATGACATACTGTCCAAATAAAACCCATTTATCTGTGACATAAATAGTCCTTACTTTTTGCAATGGAGTGAGTCATACAGTCTATGGGTCAAACCTACTTGAGCTCTGTCGCTTTAGGAGGTAGCTAGCCTGAAAAGTATGGAGAAAAGACCCTTCATTAATTGATTTAATGATTTGTCCGTGCGCACTTACCTCAAGAATAGATCAATACATTAAAATTATTGTCGGTCCAGCTCCTGATAGAAAGTCTCTACACTCTTCACACCAGCAGATGTTAGCAGAGAGCCACAGCAGACCCAAGCCTCGGGCAGAACTGAAGCAACATTTCTGGTTTGAATGTCCCGCCCTAGTGTACCAACACAACATCTCCAATTGGCTGAAAGTATAATGCCACTTTTTCGATTGGATGATACAGTAGTCAATCGGAGGGTCTGGAGATCTCCTTGGTCATCATAGCCGGAGCGAAGGTTCCGGTGTTACGTCGAGCCGCGTTTCCCCGTCAGATACTGTTTCCCCTGCGTCTACTCGCCGCTCCGCCCCGCTCCGCGCCTCGCACGCGGCAAATAGTGCGCGTGCTTGTTCAGCACTCGTAACCAGCGAGCCGTGCTTGCGCGGCGAGGCAACTACAGACACAGTGAAAGCACCTGAGTGAAGTTGGCCCCTACCCCACGCAAAACTCAGTGAAAAATAGCCACACTCGTTAGTGCTGGTTTGTGCAGAAAAAATATCGTTTGTGCTGTTTTGGTTTTTCAGGTATGACAACTTTATATAGCCTATATATATATATATAATATGATATGACAAATAAATAAATATGTATGTATGTATGTATGTAATATATGTATGTATGTATGTAATATATATATATATATATATATATAGCCTATATATATATATATATATATATATATATATATATATATATATATATCCTATATATATATATATATATATATATATATATATATATATATATAGCCTATATATATATATATATATAGATATATATATTCACAAATATATATATATAAATACATTTATCTATCATGTGTATATATACATGTATTCCCTCAGTGTTAAACAGGGGAAACGCGTCCTTATGGCCAAATTACCCCCGTCAGATACCGTTCCCCCTGTGTTAAACGGGGGAAACGCATCCTGATGGCCAAATAACCCCCGTCAGATACCGTTCCCTCAGTTTTAAACGGGGGAAACGGTATCTGATGGCCAAATAACCCCCGTCAGATACCGTTCCCCCTCTGTTAAACGGGGGAAACGCATCCTGATGGCCAAATAACACCCGTCAGATACCGTTCCCTCAGTTTTAAACGGGGGAAACGGTATCTGATGGCCAAATAACCCCCGTCAGATACCGTTCCCCCTGTGTTAAACGGGGGAAACACATCCTGATGGCCAAATAACCCCCATCAAATACCGTTCCCTCAGTTTTTAAACAGGGGAAACGCATCCTGATGGCCAAATAACCCCCGTCAGATACCGTTCCCTCAGTTTTAAACGGGGGAAACGGTATCTGACGGCCAAATTACCCCCGTCAGATACCGTTCCCCCTGTGTTATTTTTTAAAACTGGACACAAAAAACACAACCTCGAATCAAAATGCACATTTTTCAAAACACAATTTTCAATTTTACAATGGCTTACTTCTTGCCACTCTTCCATAAAGGCCAGAGTTGTGCAGTATACGACTGATTGTTGTCCTGTGGACAGAGTCTCCCACCTCAGCTGTACATTTCTGCAGTTCATTCAGAGTGATCATGGGCCTCTTGGCAGCATCTCTGATCAGTTTTATCCTTGTATGAGCTGAAAGTTTAGAGGAAAGGCCGGGTCTTTGTAGATTTGCAGTGGTCTGATACTCCTTCCATTTCAATATTATCGCTTGCACGGTGCTCCTTGGGATGTTTAAAGCTTGGGAAATCTTTTTGTATCCAAATCCAGCTTTAAACTTCTCCACAACAGTATCTGGGACCTGCCTGGTGTGTTCCTTGTTCTTCATGATGCTCTCTGCGCTTTAAACTGAACTCTGAGACTATCACAGAGCAGGTGCATTTATACGGAGACTTGATTACACACAGGTACATTCTATTTATCATCTTCAGTCATTTAGGACAACATTTGATCATTCAGAGATCCTCACTGAACTTTTGGAGAGAGTTTGCTGCACTGAAAGTAAAGGGGCTGAATAATTTTGCACGCCCAATTTTCAGTTCTTTATTTGTTAAAAATGTTTGAAATATCCAATAAATTTCGTTTCACTTCATGATTGTGTCCCACTTGTTGTTGATTCTTCACAAAAAATTACAGTTTTATGTCTTAATGTTTGAAGCCTGAAATGTGGCAAAAGGTTGAAAAGTTCAAGGGGGCCGAATACTTTCGCTAGGCACTGTATCTGTAGCTAAGTAGCCAGGGCACATGATCACTCAGAGGCATAGTGGCAGGACCATCAACTGTCACATGAGCATTGCACCTGCTTGCTCTCAGTCTATCTGTAGCAAACACCCAACCCAACGAAGTGATTACAGCCTGTAAGAGTGCAGGCCTACTGTACTGCTTGAGAAAGTATTTGGAAAATACTATGTATGTAAAGCACTACATAAACACATTGTGTGCTGTAAATTGACAACCTATACCCTTTACAGTTCACTGTGAAGACTTACTCTATCACATGAAATGAGCAAGTATTTCCTTGATACGGAGTAACGCTTTCTAGAGACTCACGCCACTACCGAGCTGCACTGTCCAGCCCAAAAAAGGAGGCTTGCATATTTTTACTCATGTAGTGACACAGTGATGGGCTTGGTGGGCTCCCTCCTCAGCAGAAGTGGAGCGCATTTCTTGCAGCTCGCCCTCACTGTTCTCCTACCGCGGTAAAGTGGGCCGGCTTTCCGGAGTCAGCGGTAAAGAGGTCCGCACATTAAAAGCGGGCGGCCGCTTTCTGCTGTTACTTTATGCAGTTCATCCCCGCGGCTTCTCTTTCCAAAGTTACTGTCAGTAAAGGCATAAACCGGCCACCCGCTTTTAATGTGCGGACCTCTTTACCTTTGACTCCGAAAAGCCGGGCCTCTTTAACGCGCTGTTCTACCGCTGCCCTCCCTCCCTCCCTTCCTCCGCTGCCCTCTCTCCCTCCTTTGCCCTCTCTCCCTCTCTTCGCACCGTCAGCCTGACCCCTGATACAAGTGACTTTTCTCCCCCTCCGGGTTTTTCTGTTGTGGATATTAACCACGTTTCATTTTAAAGCAGGTATTATTTATTTGTAGCCTCCAAACACCTTTAGTTTTAGCAAACAACAGCAGGACACGCTTTGTCGCTGCGCATGATGTGAGCTGTGTTACGTGATGATTTTGATTGACGCTGCAATGACTGGGACAAAATTACTAACGTTATTAAAATATATTTTATAAATATATTATAAAATATATATAATAATATATATAAATGCTAAATACATATTTAAGGGCTTTATATTTAAAAATAAAAAAATAAAAAATAAAAAAAAAATCTTTTTTTTTTTAGCAAAAAAAAAACTTTTTTTGTGTGTGTGGAAATCATCTTGCAACCCCCCCAGGGGTTCCCGCGACCCCCCGGGGGGTCGGGACACCCACTTTGGGAACCACTGCTCTACACTATTTAATTTACAGTAATACACTTTGTTATTGTACATGGACTATGTATAGTTTTTGAAACCAGGGGATGGGAGTAATTTGCTTTTGTGGCAGGACAGGGTGGAGGCCGGCTCTCCATTGAGGACCTGATCCCCTTATTGGCCACTCCGCTAGCTCTCAACCCTTAAAATGCTTTCCTAGTTGCTTCTCCCTCATATTTACAATGCAAATCTGACTATCCACAGTATTTCTAGCATTATTTTGTAGATCAAAAGGTTATTTAAACTCTGCTCAAAATTATCTTCCAGTTCTCCGGTAGAAAATATGAGATGAGGGGCCATTCTTGTGAAATTTCCCATATGGAAAGTTATATTTGAATAAAAATTAACGCCACTCCTACATTTGCATCACATCAGCTATAAGCTTTCCTTTGTAACTATGCCTGACTGCACTGTCAAATAAATCAAATGCATGTTATCCCTGTGAAGCGCTATTTGGCGCTTTGGTGCAAGTGGTCTTCCCATTTTTACTTTTTTATTCATAAAGCTCATCTGAAGAAGTGACAGTGGACAAAATAAGTGAAAACTTGATATGATAGGTTTCACTAGAGAGAGTGAGTAACTAGTTAGAACAGATTTGGATTAGATTAATAAATGTGTGGTTTGGAGGTTCCACAGATTAAGGTACACAATATAAAATAAATTAACATTCCTTACATTTTCATACTCCTCAGAGTCTGTGTTCTTCTTTTCTGTCTCCACATACATGTCATCATCGACCTCCATGGCTGACAGAAAGACAAAGAACATCAGCCATTTTTCAACAGACCGTGATGAATCACAAAGGACTTTAGTAAAAACTACCTTCAGGTTGATTCACGTTGTTTTCAAACAACTGACTGATTGTCATTCTTTGTAGGAGTTTTATGTCAGAAATAATTTCATTTGATTTTCTAAGGTCGTCAATGTGAACTGATTTCCAGGGTCCTATAATAAAATACTTTATGACACAGCATTGCACAATATACAAAAATATAGTAATGAAAAATGAATCATACCTCCATGGAATCCAACATAGGAAGTTCCTCCAATCATTCTAGGCAGTCTTGATATGAAGTAGACAAACACTCTTTGTCCCATGTTCTCTGGGACCGTCTTTCTGATTTCATTTATGGATGAGTACCTGGTAAAGGAAAGTAAAGGAGGTGGAACAAGTGTCTCTAAAAATGGACGAACATTGGCAGCTTACTTTGCAGATGCAATAAGATTAGCACTCTGAGAAGCTTCATCATAATCACACTGAACGATGAGTATCTTTGATTCACAATTATTTCTACCAGCTGTGAGAAAGTTCCTGTAAACGAAAAGGCAGAGGTACATAAGCCAAATCATATAATCAATGCAGTATTAGGGATGCATCGATACCAATACTGGTATTGGGTCGATACCATAGGCTTATTTGTGCATGAGTTAGCCAGCACGAGCCCCATTCATTTGTCGAGTGCATTGTGAAGTCCACAGCAGCTAAAGTAGACTGGTCCAAATACATTACTCCCCTCAGCATTGACACACATCTGGAACGTAGCGTTTGGCCAAGAGCCAACTTTTGGACCATCCTGTAAAGCCGTTTGAGAGGAAAGAAGACGCCATACAAAAGCATTGGATAATTCTCTTTCTGGGTCCACCCCACCGGCTAAGAGTGGTATTGCAAGCATGTCAGCGCACATGCTCATGGACCTTTTAGAGCCGCCACTCAGAAAGACCCTGTTCCGACAGGGATTCAAACCCAGGGCGGCACGGTGGCTGAGTGGATAGCACCCTCGCCTCTCAGCAAGAAGGTCCTGGGTTCGAATACCGGTCGGAACAGGGCCTTTCTGAGTGGAGTTTGCATGTTCTCCCCATGTCTGCGTAGGTTTCCTGCAGGTACTCCGGATTTCCCCTACCACTAAAAATATGTACAACAGGTCTGGCATGCGCCTCCTGTACTGGCGACCTCACTCCCATCACTGTGTGGAGTGAGAGGACAAATGCCCAAAAAATAACAATTGTAAACCGCTTTGTGACTCTGGTCTGTGAAAGGCGGTATATAAATAAACATTACTTACTTACTTCTTGCTGAGAAGCGAGAGTGCAATCCACTCAACCATCATGCTGCTCAAGGCAGCCCAAGCAAACCAAGATAGTGGACATAAAGTATGTTAATTGTTTAAAAAGTTTAAATACGAATGAATTAAGACCCGAATGTCACTTTTAATGCAATTTGAGGCGAGATGATAATGGTTCCATGTTGTGATTTGTGGGTTTTAAGTAATCAACTGCTGCTGTCAAATCACACTGCTGACTCGACAGCTGATAGCTTACAACTTAGATTTTGCTAATTATTTCCATTATCAACCCAACAGACCAGTTGTAAGCTAACAGCCAAATCATCGGCCTACGTCAGTCAAATGACATATACGACAGTTCAACCGACAAGCTATTGGACAACTGTCATCATGGATCTATAATAATATCTGGATAGGGAATTACCAAGCCCCGGCGATCCAAGATCGCATCCTATTCAAATTAATGGCTTGTGCCCAGTGGCGCATGTGCCATCATAGGGACCAAAAGATTAGCGAAACTCGCCCATATTTGGGCATCGTCTAGTCCTCCCAGTTCTGCGCAGTGGACGAGCTCCCATGATGCGTTGCGCCCATGGATCTATAATTGGATAGGGTATTACTAACTTACAGCTGTCCCACCCATGGGCACCGTGATACAGCAGACTAACTTCACGTGGGCTACCCAGAAATGTTCCCCATAGATCTCAATGTAAACTAAAACAGCTCGACCTCAGCTGACAGAGAACCTACCTTTTCTTCTTAAATCCTTCAGTTTTCTTTAAATCCACACTTTACTGCTCCTTTTCTTCCCGCTCTGACTCCGCTCTACCGCTGCTCTGATCAGCAGCTCTGATGGTCTAAACGCAGCTCAACCACTGTGCAGAACTGGGGGGACCAGATGATGCCCTAATGAAGGGGGGGTTCCGCTAAGATGTCAGCACCCGTGATGTCCCATAGGCTAGTGAGCACAAGCCATTCATTTGAATAGGGCGCCATCTTGGATCACCGGGGCTTGGTTGCAGGAGACAATCGAGCAGTTAGTGGTACTGAAGAGTGGATTTAAAGAATTTAAGGGAGAAAAAGTTCAGGATGACAAGGGACACTAAAATCCCCACAAAATCCGACCTTTGTGAAAGCTGTAGGTTCTCTGTCAGTTGAGGTCGAGTGGTTTTAGTTTACATTGAGTTCTATGGGGAAAATTTCTGGGTAGTCCACATGAATTTAGTCTGGTTTAGTCTGCAGTACTGCAAGTATCCCCCGAGCACATGGGCCCTTCAGCTCCAAGCTTGTAATACCCTATCAAGATATTATGATAGATCCATGGGTATTACTAGCATATAGCTGTCCCACCAATGGGCACTGGGGAAGCCCGTGGTACTGCAGACTAAATTCACATGGGCAACCCAGTAAGATGTCCCATAGAACTCAATGTAAATTAAAACAGCTAAACTTCAGCTGACAGAGAACCTATAGCTTTCATAAAGATCGGATTTTGTGGGGATTTTAGTTTCCACATAATGTCCATATATCAAAACATGGAACCATCAACATCTAATAATAATAATGCATCGGTTTTATATAGCGCTTTTCTGGACACTCAAAGACGCTTCACATGTCATTATTCTTTCACTCCATACACAGTGATGATAAACTACTACTGTAGCCACAGCTGCCCTGGGGCACACTGACAGAAGCGAGGCAACCAGTATGCGCCATCGGCCCCTCCGACCACCACCAACCATTCACTCATTCTAGGCAATGGGGGTGAAGTGTCTTGCCTAAGGACACAACGGCAGTTTGGCACTTAACAGCCGCCCCACTGTGGCTGGTGTTCCCAGAGGTTAAGTGTCCTACCAAGGACACAACGACAGCAGACAGTGGGAGTCGATGGTGAAAGCCGGGCTCAAACCCACGACCCTCTGGCTCAATGCTCTACCAACTGAGCTACTGTCGCCCTTAACATCTTGCCTCAAACTGCATTAAAAGTGACATTTGTGTATTTATTTGGTTGTATTTAAACTTTTTATAAAATTTGCTGACTTTCTTTTTGCCATCATGGTTTGCTTCGCCTGCCGTGGGAAGCGCATGCGCAGGTATGCATTACATCATAAACAGCCAAGGCAGCATAACTCGACAAGAGGCAATAACCAATAGAACACCGACAACTGATACCCACATTTTAACTTACATTAGTATCACAACAGCAGACAGTTGTGCAGTAAGTGTTGCGATGGTAATCTCACTAAGTCAGCAGCGAGAAAGTAAGCTAGTGAGAAGTGAGCAAGTGGGAACCAAGCTAGCGGAAAGCAAGCAAGTAAACAAGAGTGACAAAAGACAAAAGTGTCACGAGGTGGGTCAAAAACAAACTCGTATAACACCAGTAACTTGATCAAACATCTGAAAACTCACCACCAAGCAGAGTAGAGCTAGCGCCAGAGCACAAAAACAACCAACCCTACAACATAGCATTTGTATGAGAGGAGTATGGCAGTGAATCTTATTGTTGACTGTAAAAAAAAAAAAAAAATGCTAAAATGTTGAATTGTAAAAGGATTTTCTTACTAATGAAACGAGAAATAAAACATTAAAAAATTCTGTTGTATTAGTTTTATGAATTCCCAGGGATAAAACAATGCAGTACTGCGGTATCGGTATTCGTGACGGCTAGAACTCAAATGAAGGTCCTCATACTCGTATCGGTTTTGAAAAAAGTGGTATCGGTGCATCCCTATGCAGTATATAATGTGTACATTCTACTCTATCATCAAAAACTGTGGTCTTTCTTCATTGAAGCTTGCTTCCAATATGGAGAGAGAAATTCAATCACATTTAAAAAGACTATGTAAGAGCTATACTTTTGGAGTGTGCTTGGATTCGTGTCTTTATCTTCCATCTGTACTCTGAGTGGAGATGAGGGATGGGAATTCATCTAAAGCTCATGTCTGAGCTGTGGTGACTGGTCATTATGAACACATTGAAGAATGATACAGTTTTCTGAATTTGCTCAATCTGATGTAAAATTTTGGACAAAACAATTGGGAAAATAAACTATTGTGTTGACAACAAAATATCTCCTGGAATGAAAACATAAAACAATTTATGATATAAAACTTCACAATCTAATTTCATCGTTCCTATTCACTGGTGCAGAGTGGATAGCACTCTGGCCTCTCAGCATGAAGGTCCTGGGTTAGAATCCACGGGTCGGACCAGGGCTTCTGAGTGGAGTTTCCGCCCCCAAGTTCTCCCGTGTGCTGCGGTAGGTTTCCTCCGGGTGCATCGGTTTCCCTACACTAAAAATATAGTACAAATAGGTCTGCGCATGTGCAACCTCCTGTATGGCGACCAACATCCCATCTCTGTGTGGAGTGAGAGACATTGCACAAAATAAACTAGTGTAAACAGCTTTGAGACTCAGATCTGCAGTGAAATAGGCGGTATATAAATAAAGATTACTTACTTACTACATACTACTACTACTACTTACTAATTCCTTCTACCCAGCAAAGCTCTGCTGCCTTCATACATCTCGAATCATACTGGCTTTGATTGGGACATTTCATGTATAAACAATATTTCACTTCCTCATGGGGACCATATTAAACATTTTACACAGGTTTTCCTCCCACACTTGGTGAAAGGCTTGTGGTGTGGGGACTCGTGAGTGTCCAGTACAGACTGATAACTAAACAAGAGAAAAATGCCTGTGACAAATTAACCTGCCTGAATACTTTGCTAACACTCCAAATTCGAATGAATAATGAGAATTGCAAGCTGTGCTAATGAGCAATGAGATTATCGTGATAAAACTGCTCCATCGTCTTAAATGTTAATATATAGAGATAACAAAATAATCATGTATAAGTGATGTTATGAATATACCTGTTGGCTGTCATGGGACAGCTGCATCAAACGTCCGATTCACAGACAGGAAAGGACAAGTGCCATCTAAAGCACCACACCACTCACTGTAGGGCTGGTCATCTGTAATACAATTTAGAAAAAAAAAAAAAGTTTCAGATTGGGGGGGGATATTTTGAAGAAACCAATAGACAATCTCACTTCATAGATATAACAAGAGTCAAGAATAAGCACAATACTGGACTCTCCTAGAGGAAATGCTGCCAGATGCACAAAGCATCAGAAAAAAAAAACAACTTTTTAGTAAAGTTTCCTTTCTGTCTGGCAACCTCTGTTTTCAACATTTTAAACATAAATACATGTTTTGTGTGGGGGACATTCCTTTACACATCTTTCAGTTTTCTCATGGGGACCAGACTACCTAGTCGAATTTCAAAAACAGTTATGACCTCGACACTTTTACACACTTCTAATTTAGTGTGATGTGGGGAATATGAGAGTCCGAAAAATAAAATGATAATTAAATAAGAGTGTGATCTAATTTATAATGGATTTGCTGGAAATACATTGTCAACACTAAAATTATTTATTGTTTTTTGTTTTTTTTTATCACACTAACACTATCATCAAAACTGTTGTCTTATTTCATTCCTCAAAACCCCCTTATCTCTCCACCCCCCCCCCCCCCCCAAACCCCCTCCCCCTACCCCATCCAACACCCAAAATCTCTATAATCAATTCAACAAACAAACCACCCCCCCCCCACATCCACCCCTCTTATTCTCCTCTTTAATTTCTACACAACCTACTATACAATCTCATTTTATCATTACAAAAATTAAAACACACACATTAATAAATCTACATAAATGAAATATTCTCAATCTGATGTAAAACTTAATACCAAAACAAAATTCGGAAAATAATACTATTGTCCGTTGCAGAATATCCCTGGAATGAACACATAAAACCAATTCTCTCGTCTATAAAACTTCAAATCAAATTTCAATCGTTCCACTCATTCCTTCCTACCCCCAGCTAGCTCTGCCTAGCCTTTTCCACACATTCTCGAATCAAACCGGCTTTGTGGGGACATTTCTGTAACAATAATTATCTTATCATGGGGACATATTAAACATTTTACTCAGTTATTTTCCTCTCACACTTGGTGAAAGTGTGGTGTGGGGACCACCGTGGAGTGTCACAGTAAAGACTGATTTACTAAACAAGAGAATAAATGGCTGTGACAAATTAAATCTGCCTGAAATACTTTGCTAACACTCACAATCTGATATGCATAATGAGAAATTGCCAGCTGTGTAATGCGCAATAGTTTATGTGAAAACTAATGTACATCGTCATTAAATTGTTCATATTATAGAGAGCCAAAATAACATGAATTATGTGATGTTTGAATATTACCTGTTGGCTGTCACTGGGACCAGCAGAATCAAAATCGTTGATTCCAGTCAGGAAAGGGACAAGAGCCAACTAAAGCCACACCAACTCATCTGTAGGGCTGGTCATTCTGTAATAATTTAGACAGAATAAAAAAATGTTTCAGATGAGTTCTTAAGAAACCAATAGCATCTCACTTCTTAAGAATATAACACGAGTCAAGAACTACGCAAACAGAGTTCATAGGAACATGCTTGATCCGCGCATGCACAAAGACATCAGAATAAACAACTTTATAGTAAAGTTTCCTTTCTGTCTTGGCTACCTCTGTTTTCACACATTTTACATAAATCATGTTTTGTGGGGACATTCCTTTACACAATCTTTCTGTTTCTCATGGGGGCCAGAATACCACTGGCCTGACTTTAATAACAGTTATGACCTCGACACTTTTTCACACATTCTAATTTTAGGTGTGTTTTGGGGACATCATGAAGAGTCCAGAAAAAATTGAAATTCCAATAAGAGTTTTGATCTAATTCCTATAATGGCATTCGCGCTTGAAATAGATTGTCAACACTAACTTTATTTATTGGTTTTGTAGACTTGTTTTTGTCCCCCCCCCCCCAACCCACCAGCATACTCACACATCTATCATCAAAACCATTCGCGCTCCCTTTATTCATTTAATCTACATAACAAATGTAGAGAGGAAATTCAAAACACATTTAAAAAGACAAGTTAAAATGCCATATACCTTTGAGAGTGTTGCCTGGATTTTGTCATTATCATCCATCTGACTCCCGCCCCCCCCCCCCCCATGGGTGGGATGCCCCCCCCCCCCCCCCCCCCCCCCCCCCCCAAGACGCCGGCATATTGCGTCATCTAAAGTGTGTCATCGAGCTGTTGGTGTGGTCATCTATAAAACACTCAATGAGAATGTGTGTACAGTTTCTGAATATCGCTCAGATCTGATGTAAATTATGGACAAAAACAATAAGGAAAATTAAACTCTTGTGTGACAGAATAAATATGATTTTCGTCTCTTTTCGGCCCTGTATATTACTGTGAAACTTCTGGGATTCGGCAGTTTTGTTGTCCCCTCCTCCCTCCTCCACAGGAGGCTTTAACATGTAAATGGCAATGCTGTGAGCTATACAAATGCTAATCAGGGTTGAGGGGGAGCACACCGTAGACCCGGATTTTGTAAATGCACACACACAACACACACACACACACACACACACACATATTTGATCATGATTGATTATAGCTTGTCATGTCAAAATCAATTAAATAAATCTAATAGGACAAAAGACATGTTGAAAGTGTAAGTGCTCATCTCATGTATGTACAGTACAGACCAAAAGTTTGGATTTTTTTATTTTTATTCATGACATGAAAGATGTGTTCTATTCTCGGTTCAAATTATATATATATATATATATATATATATACTAGGGCTGTCAAACGATTCATTTTTTTTAGTTGATTAATCGCATAGTAATGGTGAGTTAACTCACGATTAATCGCATGTTTAACATTCTATTTCAAATCCACTCCAATTGAAGTTAAATGAGATTATCAAATATAATTACCAGTGTTGGGTAAGTTACTTTGAAAAAGTAATTAGTTATAGTTACTAGTTACTTCTACCAAAAAGTAATTGACTCACTAACTGAGTTACTCCACTATAAAAGTAACTAGTTAGCAGTAAAAGTAACTATTGCGTTACTTTTTCGTTTGTCGTGGTACCGAGCTTTAGCTGGCTGTAATTTAGGATAACTTCTAAGTAGATTAATTGTTGCAACAACCCCACCCTATTTTAGTATGATATGTTAGTTTAGGGAACTGTCCTGCAGGCAAACAGGTATAAGACAGGCCAAGGTGCCATTTAATTAAATTGCATTTATTTTTATCCATTGATCAAACAAACAGATTACAAAACTTGCAATTGAAAGAGACTATTTTAAAATAATTAGTTCCCAAAGACACACACGAGCAACACTCACGCCTGACAGTCAAGAACCAGGGAGAATACAGTGCGCAGAGCGCGCCTGACAGACAAGAACCAGGGAAAATACAGTGCGCAGAGCGCTGAGTATGTGAACGGAGCAATCGCTTGCTGCTGTTATTATAATAGCTAGATCCATGCTTGCAGCCCGTGCAAAGCTTGCACTCACTCACAGCCGCTAACAACAACCAGAGCGGCCACGGAGCAGGCCATCTCACACGCAGCATTCTGAGTGATATTCTTATGGATAAATGGGCGGGTATTTAAAAAAAATAACGCGTTAAAAAAAATGTAATTAACGTGAGTCAAAACGATAATTTTGACAGGTGCATTGCGTAAGTTAAAAAATGCCATAATGCAATATTTTGCATCTGTGGTCCATCAGCAGTTGCCTGGTGTGTAAACTGAGCATTAGCAGATTCACTGTGGTTGCTTCTGTGAGCGCATACAGTGATTGAGAAATCCCTGACTCGGGTCGCTTTCTCGCGCGCTGTTTAAGCGGAAGTGACGCAATGCGCGTGCCCGTTCACTGTTTTGGCTCCATATGTTCCCTCGCGTTCAGTGGATCTGTCCCGTCTCCGTATCACGCGTATTTGAAGATGGATCCAGCAGTTTCTCTAAGAGACCAGCTTCAGAATCACCGTCTGGAACTCCACGCCAAGCGAAGAGAAAAAAGATTGTCACTAGTGCTACGAAAAGAGCGAAGCGAGAGGCCGACCGGCGGAGAGCTCAGACCCGAGTCGCTCTCGGCCATGCGTTTGAGAAATGGAGAAGTCTCCGAAACGCTCTGGGGATAAAAAATGATCCTCATTTGGCGTTTATCTTGATTAGAAGGTAAGACGGTGACTCAGTTCTAAACGTCCTAGTGTCTTCGAATACGAAGAGATATAGCATTATTGTGTGTTAGCTTTTTGACTTAGCAACATGGACTGATTCCATTTGGTTCGGTTTTTTTCTGAACAGTAACAGATTGGCGAGACACATTCAGCATTTTTTTTGTTCTGTATGAAGAATGTCTAGAAATAATGACTGTTACGTTGATTAGTGCTTTTGAATGAACGTTAGCATCTGTTAGCTTAGTACAGCTGTGTACATTATTGGGCTGCTACTGTGCATGTAAACCATTATGAAACTTGCAGATGCAGTGATTATGTACCTCAGTACCTGTACTATATGTATCGTAGAATTGCAGACTATATTAGTAATATAATGTGGTTAGTCCAACTGTAATACAATGAGATGCATGTGTGTATAGGTAACGTGTATTTATTTACTTTATAGCTATGAAAAAATGATGGCATCAAGGAGTCCCAAGGCCTCAACTCCTAAAACCACTACTGCGACTGGTGATCTCCCGAGTTCAATCAGTCCCGTAGAATCTGACCGGTACTTTTTTTTCCCAGAAAAATGGGATTGGCATTATGTTTGATTCAAGCCTTATTGACAATTTCACTGAAACAAACTGTATTTTTTAACAGGGATGACTTATCTGTGGCAGGGGTGCAGCCTTTTATAGAGGAGAAAGAGCTGGAGGTTTTGGAGAAAAGGTAGACATGCATTCACATTAAGATGTACATTGTATTCTCATTTCTAGGTCGTTTATTTATATGATTTATTGTTTTTTGTAGACATTCAGATCTTTGGTTAAACGAAAAACGGGCAAACAATCTAGAAGACAGTGTGTAAGTTACTTAACATGTTTAAAAAGAAATATTTTGTTGATTGTTTTAAAATATGACCTGTTTACTTTCACAGGATTGAGTTTGATGAAGATTTGGCCTCAGATCCATTAGATTCGGAATATGTCCCACCTATATCTTTGAGGTTTTTTTTTATTAAATGTTCTGTCCTGAAAATAATGGAAGTCCTTCCCTAATTGTTTTTTGAAAAAGCATCAAATTGTTCTTTTTTTCAGTGCTGGTGTTGCAATTCAAAGAGAAGTTGACAATCTTCCCATCCTCGGCATAGAAGAAGCTGTGTTGGACATCTGTGACCCAGAAAATCCCGGAGAACCAGAGGACTTTGAGGATCAGTCTGAGCAGGACATATCAACATTCCCAAAGCCAATTCGTGTGGTTGCTGAAACTGACCTAGTGCACCAACAAGCATGCATAGCGTATACTATTAGCTTGCTGCAAATGGCTAATTTTCTGCAACTGCCCATCAACAAATGCCATTACAGCGATCCGGTTTCTGGTATTGAGTGTGACGGTCGGCCTCCATTTTCGGTTCAATCACGTTCTAGGGGCACATCAATCATATTGGAATGGGTGAGTGAATGCTGAAATTAGAGATTGGTATTTAGGGTAGGCAAAATGTGTAGTTATACATTTAGTAAAAGTTATTTGTTTCTTTCTCCATAGTTCTGCTCTTATGGACACAAGTTATGGATGTGGAACAGTCAACCTGTACTTCGACATGGGATGCAAGGAGGCGATTTTATGTTATCTGCCAACTTATTACTGAGTGGTAATAATTTTGCTAAGATTGCCCTCCTCTTCAAATTTATGAATATGAAGATGGTTTCAACGACAACTTATTACAAAATTCAACACTCCTACTGCGTACCTGAAATAAAGGCATTTTGGGAGCAGAAGAGGTTGTCTATTGTAACTCGATTAAAGTCAAAAGATGGCATTGTGGCCCTTGGTAAGTAATGTGTTAAAGGACAATCTTTGTCGTATTTGCAGTCACTATAAGTACTATATCTGTTACAGCTGACGGGAGAATGGACTCACCAGGTAAGTCTGAAGCCTTTCACTTCACAACATAGTTATTGTGTATTACTTTGTGTTTCACCATATTTGATTCAACAAGGTCATTCTGCAACGTTTTGCACATACACAACGATGGAACTTGACACTATGGACATTATCAGTGTTGTCAATGTTGATAAAAGGCAAGTTGGTGGAAAAAGTGTCTCTATGGAGAAGGCAGCGTTCATCAAAACATTTGATGATCTCACGAAAGAATTAAAAGTCAAAGAGATTGTGACTGACGCCCATGTGCAAATTGCAGCCCTCATGCGTAAGTATTTTTGTCTGTATTATTTGATGTGCTATATTTTGTGCTTACTGCATTTTTGAGCTTTATAATAGATCCAGAACGGGGAAGATATATGGATCATGGAGTTACCCATTCCCTGGATGTCTGGCATGCTGCAAAAAATCTAACTAAGAGGCTTCATGCTGTAAGTGATAGTTCATATCGTTTCTCATTCAATTATTTTTTATAGACATAACCAAAACTAATAACTTTGATAGGCGGGTGTCCTAGCAGGTCAAAAACAAATCCTTGGGTGGATCAAGGACATTGTTAACCATTTTTGGTATGCCTGTCAGCATGCAAGCAGCCGAGAAGAGTTCATGGTAAGTAAAGTAGAACTAGAATTTATCTTCTCATTTTCACTATACCTTTTCAGTTTCTTATGTTTGCTTATTAGGACATTTGGCGAGGTGTACTGCACCATGTTAGTGGCGTGCATGAGTGGGACCTGGGTAGATGCCTTCATGGTCCTTTGGGGGATGATGGCACTAAAGAGCCTGTACCAACTGGCTCTAAAGCACATGTGGCACTGTCACAGATCGTGCTGAACCGCAGATGGCTGAAGGATGTGGAGAAGTTCCTCACATTTCGGTAAGAGATCAGTTTTTTTTTTTTGAATGATTTGTTTTCTTCTATTTCCTACTTACTTTCCCTGCAGGACCACCTCACAGCTGGAATCATTCCAAAACCATATTCTGATGTATGCCGGAAAGCGGTTTGCTTTTTCATTTTTTGTTTATGAAGCAAGAACACTTCTCACAGCTTTGGACTACAATCACCACAACAACCGTCCGGCACATGTGTACAGCAAAGGCCAAGTGTCGTAAGTATCATTCACTACTTCCTATTGACAAGTCATAAATATAGTTGTCTTCTAACGTGAAATTACTTATCTTGTAGCCTAAAGAGACTGTACAGCAAAAAATCGAAACGGTATCGGGTACACACTGTCAAAGAAGCAAAGGATTACAACTACATTCCTGACCTTCAGACACAAATCATTGGCAGACGACTTCAGTCTGCTGGTGGCCTCCCAACCAGACGGAGTATCATACCGGAGGACCCACGAGCACTTTGACCAGTATATACACAAACGGTTGTTGGTGTTATCATCACTCTCTTTACACAACCAAAACATGGGGACTTCACAAACTGAATGCGCATTTCGCGCATGCGCAAAACGCAACGAAATACTTTGCCTCAAGTCGACGGTGCGGTCTGGAACGTGAAGAGAGGACTCTTTTGAATGTACGGTAAGTGTTAAGACACGTTGTTCATTGTTATAAAGGTATAAAGCTAAAGAAGTGTGTTAAGAACGAGTATACATTCGACTATATTATCTTATAAAACTCGTGTGTTCGACCAGCTCAGCGGTGAATGCAGTGACTGTGGCCGTGTTCAGAGCCGCTCTCCCGGAGGCCTGAGAGAGCTCTGTCCGGCCTCCGGGAGTTTACTGAGGACTGCTTCGAAAGAACCGAAGGAAAAGCAGTTTGGGCTCATGGCAGAGCCTGATGTACAGGAGACTGTGGAATATCTAACATATATCATTTGTTTTGCACTGTTCCTGTCTTTGTTTGAGCGCTAAGACTTTCACTTTTATTACTGTACTTTTTCATCTCATTTGTCACTGTTGTCTTTCTGTTCATTTTTTTTTTTTTTTTTTTTATTAAGTCCATTGCTTAATAATGTTATTGAGTGAATCTAGACCTCCTTTAAACACATTTGAGCAAAAATCATGTGATATTGTTTTATATATATTGATTATTCTTTTTTGCTTACAGCGTGTTGCAGTCCGACAACAAGAAATAGTCAATTCTGCCCCACCTGTGGAAAATGTCGAAGCGCGCTGGCCAGCACTTCATACAGAGAGACAGGTGTGTACACATTTTTTACAACTATGCTTTTAACTTGAAGTGTTTTATGTTGTTTTTTTTTTTGCAGGTCCTGGCAGAATTTAACCAGATCACCAGCTCCAAACTGGGCAATGATTTCGTTGAAGCCTTGGATTGCCTAACGACACAGTTCATCAAGCTCTTTAAGGCCAAAAGGGGGACTGCTGGCGCTAAGCTTTCCAAGATTGTCCGGCACCTCGATTCCTGTGTAAGTTCATAAAGCAATAACAAAAAGAAATGACATATGATTGTGTTTGGTGTTGAAATGCACATATGTACAGCAGAGGAGATGGAGAAAGGAGAAAGGTACACATCAAAAGAGGTCCTGCTGCATTTTGTATCATAAGATTTTTGGTACAATTGTAGATTGTCATTTTACATTTTTCACGTGTTTGTAGATGGTGGAACTGCAGGAAAACCCTGGTGACCGAGAGATCCTTAAAGATTATAATTCTGTGAGATCACTAAGTCACCGCTCTCAAAGACAACTTGTCGACCTTCTCGTCAGTGACATGAGTGAAACACATGGGTATGTTGTACCCCTCAGTTATTACTCAAAAGTTCCTTCTTACAAGTGGAAGGATATTTACTCAAAATAAAATGAAAATCACTTGAAAGACCTTTCACAATAATCACATAACAATTCAGTTTCTCTCACCACTGTTATTGATTCCCCATTGTAAGATAAATAGTACTGATCTCTTTTATAAATGACCTAGGTAGATGTTCTCCTGTAGATTATCTCTTGGTTAGGTCCCCGTGAAAATATGTACTTGTAGATACTATTAATTTAGCCTTTTTATGTAACCATGAAGTCCTTTGACCATGAGTGTTTTTTTCTCCTTAGACAAATGCCTTCCCGAAAACAAAAAAAGCTATGCTCTTAGAATTATCACACTTTCTTCATTGAAGGATCCATTTTCTCAAAAAGGTTATGTAAGTATTGTTAATGTATCCGTGGAAATTGAATTTGGTTTACCTACACGTTTTGTGTCGGTAATGGATATGTATAGATACCAATCATAACTGTACACTTTGTTTTCAGACTAACCAAGCCTCGTAATGAGACGGTGACCTCCTTTTTGCTTAACACAATATCTGCAATACAATGTGAACAATAAGTCCACATTTCCACCATGTTGATAAAGACGACATTGTGTGTAAGTGTTTTACTGTTTCTCCCTTTAACCTGGTTTTAAACATTGTCAGAGAGGAGCTGTCACTTTAGCTGTGCTACAACTGAGGTATTTTATATTTATCTTTGTTAATGTACTGTGATTATTTATTTTAATGCTTTCTTATTTTGCTCAGCACTTCGAGTTGCCTTGTGTATGAATTGTGCTAGACAAATAAACTTGCCTTACCATCGTACTTCCTGGTTCTGGTCAGGACTTGAGCTGCTGCATTTTGAATGTACTGCAGCTGTTGTTGCAGTAGTCTAACCTACTGGAGACAAATGCATGGATAAGAATCTCCAGGTCTGCTTTAGACACTATGTTTAGATGGGGAAAAAGGATTTGATTTGGCTAATAATATTTACTGATTCTTTCAGCTGCTGGAATCGAGACTGAGTGTGCTAGAAAGTGACAAAGTGGAACTCTGGAAGTCCGCCACGGCAGACCTAATGTCCAATGAAGAAGAAGGCGTTGTGGACGGTGTCTCTGGATGGATTGTGCGGTCGCAGTCTTTTCGAAAGCCGGAGTTTTCTGAACTCTGTCAAGCTGCAGTCCCGGTTAGAGGCGGCACGGAAGTACAGAGCCACGCACATTAAGCGTCTCTCTAGAACGCTGCCAAATTACAACCCCGAGGAGGCTATTGGACAGTTCAGAGTTGTAATTTTTTAATTACCTATGTGTAAGCATAAAGCTGTGTGTGTGTGTTTTAATAAAGCTTTCTTTGTATGAACATATTCCTGGAAAATTTTCATTTCTTCTATAAATAATACGAATATTTATATAAATATTATTAGTAGTGACAGATCTGCCAGCCAATCACGAGAGATTATACTTATTTGAAAGTAGTGATTTCATCCAATGGGGAGTAAGCTACCAATGGGGAGTAATCCCACGTGTGATTTTTCAGCCAATCACGAGTTTGAAAGTAGTGGTATCCACCAATGCTGAATAGCAGCCTGGCCAGCCGCTGCATTCATATGCTAATTAGGGCCATTAGCGCTCGGCCGGCCGCAGTGTTTCGCTGCATTCATATGCAAAGTAGGGACATTAGCATGGTACGGATGCGGCAGTTTGGAGGACAGGGCACCCTAACTGCGCCTTCTGAAAACTGCCTGAGATACCCGAAAAAGAGCGTGATTTCCTGCAGTTTAGGGTGACGAAAATCTAACTTTTCATGCAGTGTTACTGCTAATTACCGTAACATCCTGTTCTTCCTGTGAGTGCTGTCACTTTACAACAGTGGAGGACTTTACTGTGGAAAAAATGTGTCTTTACATTACTCTGATTGTTTTTCCCATTCATTTCAATAGATTGAGGTGTTATCAAATAGCAGAAAGATGAATTTAATGGATGAACCAATGGTCCTCCAATATTAAAGGTGTGAAACTCAGTTTTTTTGTAAAAATGGCACTTTGATGTTTAGATGTATCCTATTGAAAGGTTGATCAAAGTAAAATGATCCAGTGATCTTTGCATTGTTAGTGTTGTATCCAAGCAATTGAAAATTGTGTTTTGAAAAATGTGCATTTTGATTCGAGGTTGTGTTTTTTGTGTCCAGTTTTAAAAAATAACACAGGGGGAACGGTATCTGACGGGGGTTATTTGGCCATCAGGATGCGTTTCCCCTGTTTAAAACTGAGGGAACGGTATTTGATGGGGGTTATTTGGCCATCAGGATGCGTTTCCCCTGTTTAAAACTGAGGGAACGGTATTTGATGGGGGTAATTTGGCCGTCAGATACCGTTTCCCCTGTTTAAAACTGAGGGAACGGTATCTGACGGGGGTTATTTGGCCATCAGGATGCGTTTCCCCTGTTTAAAACTGAGGGAACGGTATTTGATGGGGGTTATTTGGCCATCAGGATGTGTTTCCCCTGTTTAAAACTGAGGGAACGGTATTTGATGGGGGTTATTTGGCCATCAGGATGTGTTTCCCCCGTTTAACACAGGGGGAACGGTATCTGACGGGGGTTATTTGGCCATCAGGATGCGTTTCCCCTGTTTAAAACTGAGGGAACGGTATTTGATGGGGGTTATTTGGCCATCAGGATGTGTTTCCCCCGTTTAACACAGGGGGAACGGTATCTGACGGGGGTTATTTGGCCATCAGATACCGTTTCCCCCGTTTAAAACTGAGGGAACGGTATCTGACGGGTGTTATTTGGCCATCAGGATGCGTTTCCCCCGTTTAACAGAGGGGGAACGGTATCTGACGGGGGTTATTTGGCCATCAGATACCGTTTCCCCCGTTTAAAACTGAGGGAACGGTATCTGACGGGGGTTATTTGGCCATCAGGATGCGTTTCCCCCGTTTAACACAGGGGGAACGGTATCTGACGGGGGTAATTTGGCCATAAGGACGCGTTTCCCCTGTTTAACACTGAGGGAATACATGTATATATACACATGATAGATAAATGTATTTATATATATATATAGGCTATATATATATATATATATATAGGCTATATATATATATATATATATATATATATATATATATATAGGCTATATATATATATATATATATATATATATATATATATATATATATATAGGCTATATATATATATATATATATATATATATATATATAGGCTATATATATATATATATATATATATATATATATAGCCTATATATATATATAAATACATTTATCTATCATGTGTATATATAATACATACATACATACATACATACATACATACATACATACATACATACATACATACATACATACATACATATTTATTTATTTGTCATATCATATTATATATATATATAGGCTATATTAATATAAAGTTGTCATACCTGAAAAACCAAAACAGCACAAACGATATTTTTTCTGCACAAACCAGCACTAACGAGTGTGGCTATTTTTCACTGAGTTTTGCGTGGGGTAGGGGCCAACTTCACTCAGGTGCTTTCACTGTGTCTGTAGTTGCCTCGCCGCGCAAGCACGGCTCGCTGGTTACGAGTGCTGAACAAGCACGCGCACTATTTGCCGCGTGCGAGGCGCGGAGCGGGGCGGAGCGGCGAGTAGACGCAGGGGAAACAGTATCTGACGGGGAAACGCGGCTCGACGTAACACCGGTTCCGACGCTGGGAGGGAAATTCGAAAAGTTCTTTTTCGGCGTCTCCTTTTGTTATTTTGCTGTATGACAACTTGTCTTGACGTTCGTAAGTTACGACTTTGCACTTATAACGGACCTTGGAGTATTGACTTTATTTTATATAGTTTGTTAGACCTCGGGTCATGTCCTCCGCGTCAGGGGGTGGTGAAAGGGAGAAGGAAACGGGAAGACTCTTTAGAAAAGGACGAAGGTAGACTGCTTAAAATGGCTAAATCTGTGGCGGAGTTTTAAGTGATTTTCAAGCTGAAAGAGCAAACCGGTGAGGGGTTCAGGGCTATGAACCCTCTAAAGATCGCTGAGTCATTAAGAGCAATCGGGGAAAATCTAAAGGCTCAAACTCTTGGAAATGGAGCTTTGTTGGTGTTTTGCTCCAACAAAGAGCAAGTGGCTAAGGCCCAGAAAATAGGGAAGATATGTGGGAAAAAAGTGGAAATGTCTCTCTCTGAACAAAGGGATGAGATTAAAGGTGTCATCTATAATGTGGCTGGAAGTCTGACTGATAAAGAAATTGAGGAAAACTTAAAAGGAGGATAAGTAGTTGAAGTAAAGCGTTTCAAAGCTCGTGAAGGGAGTAATGGCAGTGCCCCAGTTTTGATTACATTTAAGGGAAGCAGTCTTCCAATTCGTGTGTTTCTTGGCTGTATGTCATATCAGGTTCGGGCCTACTGTATATTAGGCCCCCTCTGAGGTGCTTCAAGTGCCAGAGGTTTGGCCACATGGCAGCTGCCTGTAGAGGTGACAGGAGATGTGCAAAATGTGGGGGGAATCATGATGTCTCTGGTTGTGATGGCCTTACTCTGAAATGCTGTAACTGTGGGGGAAATCACATGGCGTCATCTAAGGAGTGCGGTTATTTTACAAGAGCAAAGCAAGTACAAGAAGTTAAAGAGCAGCACAAAATCGCATATGCCGATGCTTTAAAAAGAGTGGAAGGAAGGGTTAACCCTAGTGTGTCCTCTAGGACTGTTGTGGGAGGACCTGCTGTGGCACAGCAGGTCTCACCTGCATCTGTTCCTCACAACTGTTTTATGGTTCACAAAGAGTCGTTTCTGGCCTTTATAGTTGATGTTCTTTATTCTAATAGGGGAAAAGGCTCCAGAGCTGATATTCTAAAGTATGTAACTTTGGCTGCCAGCAGATTCTTGGGG